CCGTAGAAAATGTGCCCTTGCACAAAGGGCCTCCACAGTTGCTGCAAGGTGCAAGAACCAGTGCGTACATGCGTACATGCAGCGAGCTGGAACCACCCTGCTCTTTTTGGCTGCAGTTGAGCGAATATGACTGGATGCCACATATACTCATATAAGTTATCTGACTGCATCTGGCACTGCTTTTTTGATCCGCGTCCAGATTTCATAAGCAAACGTCCTCGTGAACCACACTTCTTTGTTGGTTCTGGCCGGGTCTCCCAGAGCTGAGCAGCGGCAGCTTACATCTGTATCCACGGAAAGGGAGTTGTATCCAGCGCCACATGTCTCTTTCTCTCTGGCTCCTAGCAAGCTGTCGATTTGCCACACCACGTGCGCCGTCGCAGACAAAGGCTGCGGCAATCCTAGCGGAGTCTTGAATCGACATGGCGCCAGACCCCACACGTTCTGCCAGCACTTCTGCTCCACGGCCATCCATGTCGTCTGTCTTCCTGAACTGCAGGCAGCTCTGCACAGGGGAGGCAAGTGCCAACGCCCTGAAAGAGATGTGGAAATCATGAGGCAGCCCTGTACAGGGGTGGCAAGTGCCGGCGCCCTGAAAGGGATGTGGAAATCATGCGGCTGAGACTCATTCGTCGATGTTGTTGTTTCCTGCAGCAACCAAAACTTATGCTTGACCTAGCTAATAATTATTGCAACTCATGCCGTGATTGATTGCATGTTCTGCATTCGGCTGGCACGACCGCGGACTCAAAGTCCGGAGCTGCACTGCACGAGGTGGACGCATCGTACCTGCGACAGGAGAAAGGATGAGATCGTGCTCGATCGTGCGATGCGAGTCCGAAGCAAACACTTTCACAGAATGCAGTTGTCACAAGTTTTTCCCACAAAACCGCTGAAGAAGTCTGCAGGCATCGGAGCAGGTTTGTTCCTGTCTTGGCCATGCCGACATGCACAGGAATGCAATGCATAAGGATAAGAATATTCATTATGTTATCATTGCCGGTTCATTTTCCGTGCGGGTTGAGGAAACCTCAAACCGCACGGAAAATTCTACAGTAACAAGATTGCATCCCTGCCATGTCTGCCAGACAGCACCCGTGGCCCACACGACGCATGCTGCATGCAGGGAGAGGAGACCTCAAATCCCTGCAGCGACGAATGAAAACAAGGGAAGGTTTCACTGCTCCTTTGGAGCACCCTTGCGCTTCTTGCCGGATGCGGACTTATTGGCCTTCTTGTTCGCGGCTTTTGTGAGGCTTTCAGCTGCTTCCTTCGGCCTTTCCATGTCTTGCAGCAGCAGCACGTACTGCTTCCCGAAAGGGAGGTACTTCTCCTCCGCTTCCACTTTGGCTCTCAACAATGCCTTCACATCGTTGTACAGCTTCCTGGCGTGTGAATATGCATGCATGATTGCGGCAGAATCGAATCGAAACAGCCCCCTACGAGAGAGACTATAAGTGCGATCGGAGCACTTGAAGTTGGTCTCGGCATTGCCCAGATCTGTCAGCAAATCCTTGCCATAGGGATTCGCTTCCATCTCCGTCTTCAGCTTGCTGGCCAACGTAGACCCAGCCAGGCATTTCTTCGCCAGGTCCTCCCCTTTGTCGAGCACAGTCATGTTCTCCAGAGTCCTCTTCTTCGGCTTCTTGGATGCTGGCTGGATCTCCTTCTCTGACACTGCAGCTGGCGTCGTCGGATCGGGCGTCGCAGCCGATGATGGCTTAGGAGAAGGCGACGGAGTCGAGGACGATGACGGCTCTCCAAGCCGTCGTTTCAGACCACTCGGTTCGGGGCGCCTCCGTGCAGAAGCACGTGATGCAAAAATGCATTGGGCCTGCAACCCTCACTATCTGAGTAGGTGGCATAACATCTTTCACAGCAGGCAGGTCATCTCGATCAACCTTCATGCGGGTGCCCAGGACCTGTCCTGAGATAACATGAAATTAAGCTAGGGTATTCTCGAGGGAGACTGCTTTGACATCACAAACACAAAAAGGCATGTCCAGCACGGAAGCAGTCAGGCCAAGGAACGATCGATGTCGGAAGTCCCCCAGTTCCTTCGAGAGACATGGGCAGATGCAGGAGACCTGGAACATGTATGAAAAGACTCTCAGACGTCGCATGATGTCATGTGCAATGGTCCTCTCAGTCTTGCAAAGGTAGAAGATCTTGGAGCCTCGGAGGTTTGGATCTTCGGCCCAATCTCCGCTGGCTTCCTTCTCTTTCATGACATCTTTCGCCCGCTCTCCGTATTTCTGGACCAGTTCCAGCTCCGTGAACGGAGCTGAATTCGTCAGCTCCTGGCTGCTGACCTCCTTCACGACTTGCCGCTCGTAGCTGCTGCACAGCTCCTGCAAGTCGCCCCCATGCTCCATAAGCTGGGTGATCAACTCCGAAACGGAGTCGTCGTCCTCCTTTGCAAGCTTCTCCTTCAGGCCTTCCGGCAGGTTTTCCTGCCTCTTCGGATTCTTTCTCAGGCGATTGAGAAACATCGCGGTCTGCCGTCTGTTGCATGCAGGCTTCGGCGGTTCTTGGACAGCCGGCTTCTGATCCGCACTTTTTCCTTCTTCATCTTCCTTCTGAGCCGCACTTTTTTCTTGTTCATCCTTCTTCTTCCGATCATCCTTCTCTTCCTTCTCGGGGATCTCCTGCTTCACAGCTTTGGTCCATCCCAACTGCTTCTTCACGTTCTCCTCGTCATCCACTCTGGACCTCAGGGCCTGTGACTGCTCGCGCAGCCGGGCCAGCTCATCCTTTTTTTCTTTTCCTCCTCTTCCTTCTCGATCTGCTCCCTGACTTTCGCCATCTCTTCTTGCACACTTGCTGAGTCCATCTTGGACTGCAGATTCACCGTTCGCTGGATTTCCTCTTGACGTCTTTTCTTCTCTGCTTTCAGTCGATCCAGCTCCAGCAGAAGTCGTTCCCGTTCGTCTTGGTAGCTGTCCTGCCCGCTTCTATTCCTAATGGTTTACGGGGTTTAGGGGTTAGGGGTTTAGGGTTTAGGAGGTTTATAGGGTTCAGGGTTTAGGGGGAGTTTTGGGAGCTATAGCGCGCACATGTGGGGTTTAGACCATATATTCTAAGCTGTGTTCAAGGTTCTTAGGGTTTGGAGTTTATAGGGTTTATAGGGTTTAGGGGTATACAAGCTATGTAAGCTATGGGTTTTAAGGTTTAGGGTCGATCGGCCTGCTCCAGCGGATTCCCTTCGGCCTTTCTTTCTTTATCCTTGCTTTTCTCCTCCTCCTCCTTTTTCCTGATGTCTTCCTGGGCCGTTTTTTCTTCCTCCTTGCGAGTGCCTTCCTCCTCCTCTTTCCTGATCTCCTCATTGGCCTTGTTGTCTTCATCCTTGCATTTGGCTTCCTCCTCCTCCTTTTTCCTGATCTCCTCTTTGGCCTCTTCTTCTTCCTCCTTTTCGCGCTTGGCTTCCTTCTGGAGCATCACGAGCCGTCGTTCCAATTCGTCCCTCTCCTTCCTGAGTTTTTGTCGCAGCTCGTCACTGGCATCGGCTCCCTGAAAAGGGGCCGTGTTGCACCTGATGTCATCCTCCTCTTTTTTCCTGATCCCTTCCTTGTTTTCTTCCTCCTTGTGCATGGCTTCCTCCTCCTTTTTTTTGAGCTCCTCTCTGGTCTTTTCTTCTTCCTCCTTGCGACTGGCTTCCTCCTCCTCCTCTTTCTTGAGCTCCTCGATCGTGTTCTTGAACTTTTCTTCCTCCTCCTTGCGACTGGCTTCATCCTTCTCCTTTTTCTTCTTTTCCTCCTCGCGACTTGCTTCCTCCTTCTCCTCTTTCCTCAGCTCTTCTTCGGCCTTTTCCTTTGCTTCCTTAAGCCTGAGGCTTTCCTGATCCTGTTTCTTGACCTCTTCTTCTTCTGCTTCCTTCGCCTGTTTCCTGATCTCTTCCCTTCTCTTTGTTTCTTCCTCCGCACGTTTCCTGTTTTCCTCCTCATCCTCCTGAGCTTTCTTCATCCTCATGGATTCCTCCTTCTTCCGCAAATCCTCCAGCTGTCGTTCCAAAGCAGCTCTGCGTTGCATGAATTCCTCCTCCTTCATCTTCTCTTCGTCTGCCTTCCGCTTCGCTTCCTCCTCCTCTTTCTTCCTCATCAGCCTGTATTCTGCTGCCTTCCTCTTGTTTTCCTCATCCTCTTTCCGGCGGATCTCCTCCTTCAGCCTTTCTTCTTCCTTGCGTTTGGCCTCCTCCTCCTCTTTCTTGCGGATCTCCTCCTTCAGCTCTTCTGCCTTCCTCTTGGCTTCCTCCTCCTCTTTGTGGCGGATTTCCTCCTTCAGCCTTTCTTGCTCCTTCCGCTTGGCCTCCTCCTCCTCTTTCTTCCTGATCACCAGCTCCTCTGCCTTCCGCATGGCTTCCTCCTTCTGCCGGATCTCCTCTTTCAGCCTTTCTTCTTCTGCCTTCCTCTTGGCTTCCTCCTCCTCTTTCTGGCGGATTTCCTCCTTCAGCATTTCTTGTTCTTTCCGTTTGGCTTCCTCCTCCTCTTTCTTCTTGATCTCCTCCTTCAGCTCCTCTGCCTTCCGCATGACTTCCTCCTTCTGTCGGATCTCCTCTTTCAGCTTTGCTTCTTCCGCCTTTCTTTTGGCTTCCTCATCGTTTTCCTGCCAATGATTTAGGGCGAAGGTTTAGGGTTTCCATGAGTTAGAGCGAAGGTTTAGGGTGCGACAGCACGGGGTTTAGGGCTCGACTTAGGGCGAAGGTTCAGGGTTTAGGGGTTTTAGGGGTTTACGGGTTTCAGGTCCGGGGCTTAGGGGTTTAGGGGTTTTAGGGGTTTAGGGGTTTTAGGGGTTGAAGGGTTTAGGTTTTAGGGTTCAGGGTCAAGGGGTTTCAGGGGCTGAGGGGTTTTAGGGGTTAAGCAAATCCCACCTCCATGTCTTTCCTCAAGGAAGCGACCCGGCTCCGAAGGAATTCCGCTTCCTCCGCTCGCCTTTTGTTTCTGGCCTCGGCGGCAAAAGACCACCGGACGACGAGCAGAGCACCCTATTCAACGAAATGCAGCTGGATCGCTTCTTCGATATCCGCAAGCATTTCAGCTTTCTTGAGCGGATCAATCTGGGCATCTTGCGAAATCTCCTGCACTGAATTAATATCACAAGTCCAACCATGCAGTGTGCCGACAAGAAGACACCGGGCCTGCATTGTCGCCTCATCCAGCAGATCTTCCAGATCCATTTCCATGTCATCCTGACACAGAAATGCAGCCAAAAAACACTTTCTGACATCCGGCATGCGGCATGTGCCGTCATGCAAAAAGCCCTGCGCCTGTTGCTGTGTCGCCCCACACGTGGCCATTGTGTCCTGCGTCTCCAGGGCCTGTGTCTCGCTGACCCGAGGAGCAGGATGCACTTCGGCATCCTTCAAACCGCGGCACACAACTCGACCGACTCTTTCGGCCGAGTCCATCTGCTCCAGCTTCACCTTGATGTCGGACATGGCCGGATGCACGGCCCGAAGCAGGGCCTTCCTACAAGAAAACCAAAAGCTGCAGGCGGGCAATCCGAGCTCACATGCAGCAGAAAGACAGGTAGAATACATCTTCACAACAGCAATTGTTAATTGCACGGCCGAAGGTTTTGACGCCATCGCAGGCAGATGTTGCAGTCAGAGGTCAAGTCATCCTTAGACGACATCCAGCCAACAGCAGAGGGTAACGGGTTGGATTGTTATGTGTTCGAATGGACAGGAAGGGTAAGTTGCCCTATAGGGGTAACGGGTCGTAACGCGTGGGTAACGGGCGGCCCTGTTCTTTTGAATAATAGACGTTTCTTTCGGTAACGGTTGGTAACGGGTTGTTCCGTTATGTAATTGATCGGAAAAAGTTTGTGACGGATGTTACGAGTCAACGGATGCAGTCGGGTCACAGCAAACGTCGGCAGTACATGAGGGTGTCCGACAGCTCCAAGTCGACATCGTCATATGAAACAGCCCGCAGTATTGCAACCTAGGTTCAGCATCCCAGTATATCAGAGCAGGGTTCAGGACAGAAAAGCCACCCCGTCCTTCATTTGGAGCAGGCTCATGTCAGCAGAAGCGGCCAATGCGGCAATCCGGCGGGACATCCTGCCCGTGTCTAATCATGTAGCACGATCAGGATCAGAACAGCGATTCATACCATCAAGGTCCCGAGGGATCGCAAGCGACTGCGATGGACCTTCCACCAATTCGCAATGCAGCGCCCGAACCTGGATTGCAACATTCAATCCTAGACCGCACGACTGCACGCAATGCAGTCAAGTAAGCTCGGCCATGTGCTCGACGGGATAGGACTGTGTGGCCTTCAACCCCGGACCACCCGTGACTCGTTCAGCTCCGTTCACATCACGGGTCCTCGTTGGGTAGAAGATTTACAGGGAAACAAACAAAACCAGGAATGTTGCTGTAGGTAAACCGAGATGCCTGTAGGTCACAGGCAGATTGGAGTGCCCTCCCTTTAGGAAGGATGTGTAGCTCGTGAGGGCTTCCGTCACATCATCAGCGGAATAGATCCATAGAGGTTTCAGTGATTCGGCGCCCCAATCTCCCAGGTTGATGGTATACTGGTTCAGGCCACCTTTGTCCTTAAAGAAGGATATCAAATATTGCATGGGCACCGTGTTGACCAGTTGAGAACCTTTCGGGTTTTCAATCGTGAACACAGATCCGCGCCACCATGCCAGCAAGGCGAATGCCACTGTGACACCAACGAGGCGGTTACCCAAAGCCACGTATGGCTTGGTGGTGTCACCTTGGGGAAAGAAGGGGCTCCTCTGATGTGTTGCAGCATTTATCCATACAAAGCTGGAGCATACGACACCGAGATGACATAGCGCCCCGGGCTGGGCCAACAGGATTGCTGCCAGGCCGACCAGCAAGCCAATACTCGAGTTCAGGTCATGCAGCGTGCTACCTTAGGAACTAGACAAGGTCCAATTCTGGAAATAGTTGTATCACTGTCAATCGAATCGACAAACCATCATTTATTGCAGCAGGGCTTCGATCGATATCAATGGCTTTCACATCATAGCCCATATTCCGCCAGGCAGATGCCAGGCGGGCTTTCCCAGCGAAGAATTCCAGGAGTTGCACATCACCGCACACCTCCTCACACGAATTATAATAGGATTATTTCTGCATGACAGTCACAACTTGCATTATTTCTGCATGACAGTCAGAACTTGCTGCTCCTCAGACACACGAACTCCTGCTTTCTGCAGGACAAAGTGGAAGATGACAAGCTCCACCAGAACCTGATTCAGGATGCTGTCAAAGCGCAGAACAGGGATGGACATGGATTTAATGTGACCGACTCTGGCGGATCTTTTCCCATGGGCTCGCGGCCGTCCGCGGCTGGGCAGTGAACATCTATCATACAAGGTCCGCAGTTGGTTTCTTTGTATAAGCTCTGCCAGAGCAGGGGCATCATTATATGCAGAAGCTTCAGCTAGGGTCTGCCATTGCAGCGTTCTTCAGGTTCCGGAGTCTCTCCACAACCGTGGCCTCATCACCCCCATCATTAAGCTCTGCTGCCGCAGCGTTCACCTGAAGTACACAATGGATCCCACAAGTGCATCCGATCATAAGGTTTTCTTTCATTAGAATCCCAGCCTCGTCGAAGTGGTGGCTCAATTGTATGAGTTGCTTGTCTTTGCCATTATCCAGCTTCTTTGCCAAAGCCAGGATCTGGACCACAACATGTTTGACGCATCATCTGCACTGACGTGCAAAGTGTTTATCATGCACTGCAGGCGAGACACATCTTTTCCATTGCGACGTGCCTTCTTTGTGATATAGGTCTTTCTTGTTCTCTTGGCATTCCCCGCAGCCAGGCTCTTCTTCTCCGCACGAAGCTTCACTTGGTCTGCAGTGTCCACCGTGCGTGCCAAGAAGGTTTCAGGGTTAGAACAATTATAAGTAATAAGTTTTAACACACGACTCAAGCAAGGCCCAGCCTGACGACAGCAGAGGTTCTGACGGTCGGCGTGCAACGTGATCTTTCAGATCCTGCCCAGGAGTCTAAGCCGACTGATTTAACAGAGCAAGGCAGGCATCATGCATGGTTTTGGGGGCAGCAGAGTTTCCTTTACGTATTCCGGTTGTGGTGTGTATGCCACCTTCGAAGCTGCAGTGAACTGGTCTGGCTCAGGATCCCTGTTTGCCTGGATCAGGGATGGGTTCAACCCTCTGGAAAGAATTGAACTTCATGCAATCATACGGCCTCGGAGGCCGCAGCGGGCTTGTCATTCGAACTTCCGGACTGCATGAGATATATAGAGAGGCGGGCGAAGGAAACAGCAATGCATGTACATTGCACGGACACCAAGAAATCCAAATGAATGCCACCTTGGAAGCTGCAGCGAACTGGTCTGGGTCAGGAGCCCCGTCTGCCTGGTGTGCAGCGATGGGTTCAACCTTTTGGAAAGAATTGAATTTCAATCATGCGGCCTCGGAGGCCGCAGCGGGCTTGTCGTTCGAGCTTCCGGACTGAGATAGAGAGAAGACAACAGCAATGCATATATGTACATTGCACGGACACAAAGAAATTCAAATGACACCGAAATGGCACAACAGACTCAATGCCTTCTCGGCGGACAATCTATCATCGTCCGAACAAAGGTCCAGGATTTTGTCTTGCAGATCCTAGCAGCAAAAGGACTGATGTGGGCCCCAAGAATATACACAAGCACAGAGTCGGCCACCCAGTCCTCCATGACGCACTTCCTTTTCTTCTCCAATTGCTTCTGCAATTCGATTCTTTCTCTGTCGCCTTCCTCGAGCTTCACATCAAACAGCAGCTCATGATCCAAGTCGTCCTCGGACATCTCGGCGCTTTCTTTGAGCTCTTGAGCTCCGTCGTCCAACAGGTCGAGAAGCTCCAGCAGCTTCGCATCATAGGAGCTAGAGACACTGGGCCATTTATTGGCACCATCACCGCTGCCTCGACCAGCCAAGAACTTCCAGGACCTCCTCAATTTCCTCAAGGCAGACAGCATGGCTTTCACGTCATAGACCAGGGTCTCCACAACGATGGCTTTGCCGTCCGGCAACATCGGTTTGATGACACTGTCCAGAATCTGCGCCATCCTCAGTCAGGACTGTTCAATCTCAGGCAAGACAGCATGCGACGATGGAGAGTTTCAGCTGAGCGTCGACTCACCGCTGATGAGGACCTTGGGCTCGCAGACCAGGAGTGGTTTGAGGATCCAATGATGCTCCTGATCATCGCGATACAGAGCGAAGCATGACAACATTCCAACAAAGAGAGGAATAGCACAACTCAGTTTCGCCGGGAAGCAATCAGAAATTCGCGAGCGATGGTCCCTTTGAGACTGGCCACCTTCAGAAAGATACCCTGAGGATCTTCCAGCAGCTTCGGGATGAAGTCCAAGGGGACAGCATCTTTGATCTTTTCAATTACAGCGGACAGCTCGTCCGCTTCCAAAGTCCGCTCGACCATCCCGCTTGGCCGACCCATGAGTCACGTAATCGTGATTGTAGGTGGGCACTTTTGCAGAGATAGCTGTAGGTTTGTTTATGGAATCCAGGACAATGCACAAGATCTGCAGCCCTATACTGCAGAGATACCCAGGTTAAATCCAGGACAATGCAAATTCGATCAACAAAAGCTGCAGAGCCTGGAACCCAGGACATGCAATGCACATTCAAGAAAGTGCACGGCAAACGGTTACTGCGAGCAAGGAGCCCAAGGAAGGCCAAGAAAGACCATGCCATATATTTCCCTCATTTCATGGAATTCCAAGCGTTCCAGGCACTTTTCCACCAGCATGACATCTGGAACATATACCATGGCTCTGCAAGGCGCACTGCACAGACAAAGTTCTATGTTTCAGAAGCTTTGCCCAGCAGTCCAACAAAAATGTGTTTGCAGGGCACATAGAATAAGTTTTAGCAAATGCCTAGATTTATTGCATGTTGTATGAACGGCTTCCCTAAGAGGGGCCGGTAGAATAAGTTGTAGCAAATGCCTAGATTGATTGTTGTATGAACGGCTTCCCTAATAGGGGCCGCAATGAGGTTTATAATTACGTGATGCATGCATGTCACTTGACTCGAGCAATCCGATCACAAGACACGATTGTCTGCAACAAGAAAGCCTCACGGAAGCAATTGCCGGCAGAGCTGAGGGGCACTTGGTGACAGCGCGGGCCACATCATTTGCTTCTCGTTCTGCACAGGCAAACGTACACGTTGAAACAAGGATCGAATGTAAGAAGGCATCAATGAGCAGTCCTGATAAGAATTTTCTCTTCCGAGATCGCCCCATCCTGGCATTCAGTTTGGCATTTTGGGCCTGAAGCTGTCTGCACAGAGGACAAAGAATTTCACGGCCGCCAGCCTGAGATTCGATCGTTTTCGCGTGGTCCAGCAGTCCTCCGGTCAGGGGACGTGAACAATGCGCACGGATGAGGACTGAGCAGATCGGACTCCGGCAATGCACTCTTTTTCGTTGTGCGAAGTGCAGGCGTGGCTCGAGCGCAGATCCATATATATGCATCGTCCGAGGCCTATAGGAGTTTTCAGAGCTCTGGCGGTGTACATGTGTGTACGTATGTGTATATATATATATATGTATATATGTTTGTTTATTTTTTTGTTATGCATGAAGGTGTATTTTGCGGCTCCCTGCAAGAGGGGCCGAGAAACCTCCTCGCATCGGACACATGCATGCCCTTTTACATGTGCATCCCTGGCCGAGGGCTGCACACGTAAAAACTTACATCACTTGCACAAGGAGCAGCCCTCGTCGAAGTCAGAATCCCATGAATCAGACTCTGGATCAGAGGCCGCTTCGTCGGACTCCGGATCAGAGGCCGCTTCGTCACTCCCAGGCCCCGGATCCTCGTCATGTGGGCCTGCAGATCGACCGAAGTTCAGGTTAGGGGTTTTGGGGTTTGCAGGGGCACATATATGACATATGTCAAGCCTCCGCAACCATGCTGCACTGCGATCGCCGGGATAAAGGGCGCTTGCAGCATTTCTTCACGGAGCGGCAGCAGGACCGTGCCTAGGTTTTTAAGGGTTATAACAAGGTTGAGGTTGTGTTTGGGGTACAATTATTAGGGACTGTTGGCAGTTGCCGAAGCAGCCCTAGCTGTACCCACTTAAGGTTGAGGTCGAGTGTCTTTGATCCTCACCGCTCGCGAGAGTTCCCTGCAGCGGCGTCATGTTGCCGAACCCTGGACGTTTACAGGGCTATAGGGTTCAGGTTTACGGTCAGGGGTTTAGATATACAGCTATAGCATGTCAAGCGTCCGTCCACGGGCGTTTGCATCGACGCGAGGCGGCCACGGTTGCTCATCCGCAACCCTGAGGAGCCACCGTTGCTGCGCCGCAACCCCGAGGAGCCACCGTTGCTGTGCCGCAACCCTGAGGATCCGAGGCCTTTATTTCCAGGATACATGCAGATCTCTGGCGGGCATTTATGGCGTTATATACATTTAAGGTCTTATTCGGGTTTGAGGGAAAGGGGAAGAGACAAAAGATTGATCAATCCTCCCGAGAAACCGCTGTAAGTCGAGCCAAATCGTGACCTTGACCTCGATCCTTCTTCCGACGACTCGAGGTGCTCCGGGCGGTACTTGTTCGCAGGGTCCCTTTCTAAGCATGTTTAAGCCTCGCGATAATTAGTAAAGCCCCAGGCCGACAACCCGACAAACTTGCTATATCAGAACCAAGCTGCCAGCGATGCTCGGAGTGCGGTCCGAGAGCCGGACACGGCCCCAAGCCCACCAGTCTGCGCCTCAACGGCGGGAGCATCGCCGTCTTTCGCTCCATTTCGCTGAGCAAATCCATGATCTCGATGGATGCACCCTTAAAAATCTTGAGCCGATCTGCAGCAGGCTCGATTAGTTGTGATCCAGGTTTCCAGGCGGACGCATATGATGCATGTCGTGGCAGCTGAGCATGCACCGGGTGCATGCAGCATGCAGTCCTTGCCAGGAACGAGCAGGATTCCACGGAAGTCGGAGTGAGATGAAGAAGGCCCCTGGCAGACAAAGCACAATTAGCCGAAGCAGGGCCCGCAAAAAGAGAAGTCGTTGCAGCCTGCAGTACGATCCGAGCCGCAAGCGAAGATACTACCGGACTGTCCGGCGACGAAACCTGGCACAGAACTCCGATGTCTAAACAATGAAAGCTGTGGGAGCAGGCCTATATAGAAGCTGCATGAGGGATATGTCGAAGGGCACGAGGTCGAAGATGCAAAAGGAGGAACCTGGCAGACACAGTAAATTTAAGTTTCAGTTTAAAGAAGAACTATATAATTTAAGCAAGCCTGTGGTACCTTCGATGCAGTCGAGAAAGCCGGATCGCGGCCCAAGGACATGTAGGAATTCGGGTTTCAGATGTTCTATCTATATGTCGGCTATGTCCCAATGGCTAAGCTCGCCGATTGGCTATTGGTGCTCGAGCCTCGGGCACGAATAGCCAATCACTCTATATATATATATGTATATATATATATATATATTCCATATACTGCAAGTGCCCACTGCACCTTTCCTGCACTACTTACGTGCCTGATCGAAGGCGGAAAGCAAGCGTGCATGAGCGTCCATGTTGCTAAGCATATGCACACAAGACGTGCGACCAGTCCGGTTTTTTCCATGGCTCGCGGCTCCAGGCTTCTGTCTAGCGGTCAAAGCGTTTAATGATATCGCGTAGTTCCTCACGCCCAAAGATGGCACCGTTGTCCGTGACATACGTGTCTATACCAAGCATGTCCATATGCTTCAGCTGCAACACGAAGTGCTGGACCTGCTCCTTGGAGTACGGTCCGAAGCCGCCATCTGCACCGCTGCTGCTCGCACCGCCTTGGCCATCTGCACCGCTGCTGCTCGCACCGCCTTGCCCATCTGCAGCGGCATCTTTCTTATCGGCACCCGAAACGGGGCCGGGGCCGCTGCTGCTGCTGCCACTTGATGCAGCTGGCGGGGACTTGCGCTTGCGCCCCGCAGCACCAAAGATGCCATCACTCGAGTTGAGGAAACCTCTCTGCATGATCGATCGCGAGCCTATAATTGCTTGGGCCACGAAAAAACTGCAGAAAGCACCGGCTTTCACCCTGCCCTGCGAGGCTGCAGAAAGTCTTCTGAGCCTGAGTCTTCTGAGCCTGCAGACGAGTTCACAGGTGGGTCTCCGAGGAGGTGCCAGCGCAGGTCAGCGCTGATCCACCAATGTACACCCTCCAGCGTATGAATCTCCAAGGGTGTAAGGTATTGGCCCAGAAAATCGCAGACCAAGGGTAAACTGCACACTGCAATCAACGGATGCTGACGATATGCAATGGACACTGAGCGAGCGGCCCCCTCCAGCCTGCTAATCTCCGCGGTTGTAAGGTATTGGCCCAGGCGGTCGCAGATTAAAGGTAATCTGCACACAATAATCAAGGTAGGCGCAGGATCTGCAATGGAGACTGAGCGGGCGGCCATGCATAAACGAAGCTGTGTGGTTTCTCTATAAGAGAACTATATATAGTATATACTGTGACATGTAAAAACTGCATATATATATATATGTACGTACACAGCTATAAAACATGTTTCTCGGTGCGGCAAGTGCCGACGAACCCGAGTCTGCAGTACATACCACATGTGATGTGCTCGTAATGCTTATTTCCAAGTCGTATATGAGCCTCTGACTGCGCACAAAATCGAACAATTTTCAAAGGATCTACACAAAATCGAACAATTTTCAAAGGATGTACTCATCAAACGTTAAGAAACATCAAACAGCCAGCCCCGTTGCGGAAGAAACGACAGATGACAAGAAACACCGCGCGACGTTTAAGAAACGACAAAGGGCTGTCCAGGTACTGTACATATTACGCCCATTGCATTAGGCTGTGCAATGCGGCCCCCCGATTTCATCACCCCTCCGTCGTCTGACGACGATATGTGATGCACTGCATCACCCCGCCGGATGCTCAGCCTTGCTCTCGGCTATAAAAATTGCTGTGTCCTTTCGCATGTGTCTCTGCTGTTTAGGCTGTCGCCTCAGTTTCTTGCTTCGCTGCTTCCTGCTGCTTACACCATTCCTGCCTGATGCACCCTTTTTTGCCATCGAGCTGGGGTGGGGTGGCTCTCGCCTGATTTCATCCTCACGCTGGTCGGGCTCCCAGTGCTTCCCGCCTTCTGCCTGTGGTGCGGTCGGCTGGGCTTAGCTCACATGTGGTCCATCGCTTGGGCCTTCAGGTCAGCGCGGACGCGTGCATCTCAGGCGGCCTGGCTTACTTACACCACCCTGCTTCTGACGCCCTGGCACAGGTACATCAGTGGGACTCCCGAGGTCCTGCAGGCTCACATGCGTTCATGTGCTCGTTGCCTGTGGTGCAGCGTTGCACTTCCTTTTCGCGCATTCAGGCTCTTCGCTCTCCGAGGCAGGGATGGGCCTGTGGTGCCGCATTTCTCTGCTCTCGATTGCGCAGCTTGCTTTGTGCGAGTCGCCTTGGCTTAGGTCCGCGGTGCTTTGCTTTGTCGGGGACTCCTACATCGCGATGGCCTCTTCGAACGATCCTCCGCGGGGCCGATCAAGGTCGAGGTCAGTCAGACGCCTTGTCTCACCCTGTGACACGTGCTCGTCTTGCGCTTTTAACAGAGGCATCTTGCTTCGCATTTTGCACCT